TGGCTCCCTCAGGTGGACTGTGGTTCGAGTCCCAGAACCCGTGACTTGCTTTCTCACTTTCCCTTTTCCTCTGGTCAAATTACAAAATGATAATAAATAAAATAATTATTTTTTTAAAAAGAAAAGAAACAAAGGAACACTGGGGCTGGCAGGTGGCATAGTGGTTAAGGTGATGGACTTACGTATGGCTGACCACAGTTCAAGTCCCAGATCTGGCAGCTTGAAAATCATGCTAATCATGAATGCGTGCCCAAAATCCCAGGAGGAGGAGGGACTCCGGTGTGGCCCCCGGGGAGTGATTTCTCACTTTCCCTCTCACCGTCTCTTTCTCTCTCCGAGTACCGTGTGCAGCCTTTCACTGGGCAGACGTTTTTGAGGTCCGTCCCGTGGTGGCGGGCGCCCCCTTACGAGCTGAGTAGCAGTACGCTGTGTGGAGACGTCATGTTTCGCTGTGTGTCTTCCCCCATGGGTGACGCTGTCCCCGAAGGCCAGGCGCCGGCCAGGGCGGGTGTGGGGGGAGAACGTGGTCTGTGGGGCTGGTGCTGCTGCTGCCGCATCCCGCCGAGGGGAGGCCGTGTCTGTGAGGTGGGGCTGCCCCGGGAGGCCACTGAGGATCATCGGGGGCTCTTGCAGTTGGTGGGGGCTGAGGGAAGGAGGGGCTGCTGGCTTCGTTTCAGGGCACAGGAGGCTGACACCCACGGGCTGGAGAGCTGGGTGTGCGGTGGGGAAAGGGCCCACCGTGGGTGGGGGCAGAGCACGCAGCCTGTCACTTTGTAGGGACCGGGGCACCCTCTGTCCCAGACTGTGAAGAGGGTGATCACACTTAGGAAGGAAGTAGCCATCCTCAGTGAATAAACTGTGAATCATAAGCTGCATTTGAATATTTTGATACAAATTCAGTGTGAATCAGATACAATTCAGGGGCTAGAGAGTAAAAAGCCCTTCTTGGGGACTGACCTGCATGGGAGGGTTCCCGTTCCAATCTGGGCCTCCGGGGGGCGCCCACCATCCATGGCAGAGGCTGGGGGTGAGGTCAGGACCCTGTTAGGGGTACTGTCTGTCTGTCTCTCTTGGAAGAAATGAATAGCTAAACTTTTTTTTTTTATTGTAAAATTCTGAATCTTCAAGGGATAATAAGTTATTTTAAAAATCTAGATGAGGGACCGGCAGATGGCATAGTGATTACGTCACTGGACTCCTACATGGCCGACCGAGGTTCAAGTCCTGGACCTGGAGGCCCCAAAAAAGAAAAAGAAACTCATGGAGGAAAAGGGATTTCAGTGTGGACATCCCTGCTGGGGAGTGATTTCTCGCTTTCTGTCTCTCGGTGTCTTGCGTGAGCACATGTGCCCTATAGCAAAAATCTCTCTTAAAAAAATCTAGGTGATGGGACCAGCAGCATAATGGCTATGTCGCTGGACTCCCATGTACGCAACTGCGGTTCAAGTCCCGGATCTGGTGGCTTAAACTCACGCCGGGCACGTGTGCGTGCATGCCCAAGATCCCGAGAGGAGAATGGAGGAGAAGGGACTGCGGTGTGGCCATCCCCCCTGGGGGGTGATTTCCCGCTTTCTGTCTTTCTGTCTCTCTGTCTCTCTTTCTGGCGAGCGCACGCGCCCTATAGCAAAAACCTCTCAACAACAAAAAATCTAGCTGATGTGGAAAATACAGTCGCGATGTGGCTGGAACAGGCAGCACCCCACCTGGCTTGGGGCATGCATTACCTGAGATGTACCAGTTGGCCCAGGTCGTGTACAGTGCCGGGAGCGTGCCTTCATCGTCTCCAGGGGACAGGGTTCCTTGAGCCACCTTCTGCCTCAGGACAAAGCCTCAGGCCTGGAGGACGGTCCAGAGCGAGGCGGGGGCGGGTGGCCCCCGCCTTGTCCTGGGAATGTGCCCGCCGTAGGGGGGCGGTAGGCTCCGTTTGGTGTCCTGAGTTGTCTCTGGCCGATGTGCGGGGTCGGTCTCTCTGCACCCGCTTCGCCCTGGTTGCTGGGGTCTGCGGGGAAGGGCCGGGAGCAGCGGAGCCGGGGGGACGGTCGCAGGTGGGGGCGGCCAGGCCACGGCCCCAGGAGGTCGGTTTAACGCCTCGAGAACGCCGAGCGTGGGCGCCGGGGGGCGGGCTACCGGCAGAAGGACG